AATGTGCTCAATAAATACAAGGATCACAAAGTGGGAAATATCAGAAGAAAAGTTTTTGGGTTCATTACACAACGTTTCTCATTTTTATCATTTTAGTTATCGCAGCTTTGATCAGTAGAATCAAAGCTTCGACTGATGCAAACCTTCCATTTTCCCCGATTACGCACCGTCTCCTCAAGACTTTCCAACCAGCGATGTTCTTCATCTCTGACTCCTCAGCCCGAAACAACTATACTGAAATTCAGCGCCTGGACGTTTCGTCGCCGTGTGGTAGTTGGACCAATGCGCGATTTCTTCCCCGGCAGCCATGCGCGAGCGAATAGAGTGTGTCGTGGTAAACGCTCGCACGGCATGCTTAGGATATGACCCAGCCACCTTTGGCACAGCGATATTAGCTTATCGAGAGAGAAACCTGTATTACTCAGGACGCGAAGTCTAACCTCGTCGTTGCAAAGGTGGTGTTACCACCACACACAAGCTCACTTCCGCAAATTTAATCTCCCGTACTTTCTTCACTTTGGGCACTACCACACTCGCGATCACTGACACGTCAGCACGGCAACAAAATTAACGTTTGCATTATGCACAATGCACACATTTTTCAACGGTCGTTGAAAAGGGTATTTGGTGCTGTTGTATGCGAGTGAATGGTCGATTATGACGCAGGCCACTGAAAGTCGCAAGGAAGTTGTCTCGCAAATACCGCCTTACTTTTGCACGGTAGCCAACTGTTTGTGACGGCACGCTGTTGACATGATGTAGCCACCTTGACTCTATTTTAAAGTATTAGGGTTTTTAGCTGGGTCCCCATTCTTTTACTATTATCATTCTTCTTTCTGTTGGTTATTGCGGTTGTATGACAGCGAAACACCAATGTAAACGACTGACGTAATGCTGCTAATGATGATGGTGAGTAGCGCTTGGGAAATCCCAGTTATTTATTCCATTCCAAACCAATTTCTCTGCCAACACAGGAAAGAGTACAACCTGCTCCTTGAATGAACAAATCAAGTTTATAGCAGTGAACTCCGAGCGCTTTGGTGACGGTCTAAGCAGTTTCTTCCACATCACTGGGAAAATGGTAGCAATGTCAAACACCGTGCCTAATTATAACATAGCTAAAAATATAAATAAATGGCTCGCTGTACGCCGTGACCGCGCTTCGCTGCCAAGCGATCACCACCAGTAGCATGCGGACTGAGTATATTGCGAGGACGCTCATACCTAAGCGGAGTCAAACCGGTGACCAAGTGGTTGCAAATCTGGCACGCAGAAAACTCGGCCACCGCTCGACTAAGGTGCCGCTGAGTTTCAGTATCAAATATGTCCTTCTTGGAGATGAATCTAATCTAAATGCTGCAATAATTGTCTATGTTCACTCCATGACAGCTCGTCTTTTTGAAAAATTACCTGGTACACAAACTTGGGGTAGTCAGGTATACGTAACTGGACAGTTGTTTGGAGTACAGTCACGAAAAGCGGTTACTTAAACCCACTCACCAACTGTAGATTTAGGGACTATTTTGGACTTCTTAAGATCGCGAAATCTCTAGGACGGCTAATGACTTAGATCTGAATATCTGAAAAGTATACACTATCGTCCACCGGTGTACTTCTTATTCGCGACCACTGGCCACTCACTTGCATAACGTGTAGCGTTTGGTTGTGCACTTTCCCCTTAAGGAACATTCACACCGTCTTTCTTGATAACGCGTCTAAGAGGTCCGATAATTTTTGGTTTGTTGGACGAACTGTTTGCTGAGCCTGGCAACTTTATTCCAAACGTTCCGTCACTACTCGAGGTGACGTCGTGTGTTAGTGTGTAGCGGAATGGTCTGATGCGTAGATAGGTGTGAAACGGCTAGTGGCGCGCTTCTGTATTGGGTAGGTGTCCTTTGAAAATGGTCTTTTCAATCAATGTCTCCTGACCATGGTTCGTTTGGCTCTGCGGCTGAAAATGTTGCCTGAGCAGCGCGTATAGTGTCCTATATTATAATGGATATTCAGATGCCCTCAGGAACTGGCAGTGAAAAATGTCATAATGCCACTTATTACGGTTGGTTCTGCTCAAAATGTCAATAATATGTGGAACTAATTATCTAGGTTCCTTTTTGGGTAACCAATCATGAAATAGGTTTGTCTGCTTGGAAGGTAATTAGGATGCGAACCATTGTTAACGGTATGTTTAACAAACCTGCGCCATTTCTTGCTCAGATGACGATTCAAATTATAACGACCCGATGCAAAGTTGGAGACTGGATAGGGACGGGATCCTTTATAACTATTGTTTCCACGCCGTCGCGGTAACAGCAGCACCCAGCTGCACTATGGGACCCTGAAGGGCCAAAATACTGATTGTATTCGAATTTAGGTAAAAAATGGTGATAAGCTTGGACTACCTCGGCCATCTGCTGCGACAAAGTAAAGGGGTTATGCTCAGCTATTTGCTGTTACTTTCCCTGCTTGGCATCAGTTTCCTCGCCAGTCGGCAGCATTGTTGTTCAATCCTCGCTTCTATAAGAGGTTAGCAATGTGTCAAAATCTTCTGGATGGCACGCAGGAGTTTGCAGTCACCTATCTTCTCGCTGATGCTCAATTCTTTCCTACTTTGCCATGTCAGATACACCATTCAGGCTTGACTACCTCGGATAAAGAGTGAACTCGTATCACTCGAAATCCCGCAACGTCGGGACACGAAAATGCCATGGCGTTGAGCCAAGAGCAACAGTTGAAGAAACTCGTAGTGTTCAGTGAAAGCGATACCGGTAGATACTTGGAGACCATATACTGGAATACCGGAAACTGAGCGTTCATAGTCGTTTATGTTGCCACTTTCTGAAACAGCCAGAAAACCAACCTGATTATAATTAGGTTGAAAGTAACTCCTCAATGGAGTAGTCAACATTGTCGACGAACTTACTTAACCGTTCGGGTGTACCAACCCCGAAAGGCATTTCCAAACGTTGTCTGCGCCACTTACTTACTCGTTTGCAAAAGGCGCCTAGATATTGTGTTCATCTACCTACACTTTGTGACACGAAAGAATACTGTGGAGTGAATTCAGGCTAACAAGATTCTTGCGATCATAATCCGTACCAATACACCTGAATCAGTGAAGACTGGTGAACAAGCTGATTGCTTTTACAATCATCATATAATTGATTAACTTGTGCCCCCGTCTTTTCATAGTGCTATCTCAGTCCTGCAACCCTGCTTCTAAAATGCCTTTGACCGGACGCTTCATTGATGCACATTTTCAATTGAGAAATAATTCCCGGAGATGACATCAGAAACAGAAAGTAGCGAACAAGCTTGTTTTCAGGGCTTCATCATCAGGCCAATATAACCACAATAAGGCGTGCTAGAATAGACACAATGGGTTTAAATTGGGTCACTGAAGCAGAATAACTGATCGGTCAGTCTACGTGTTTGGTGTGATTGAGGCGAGATCAAGTGAAGTGGCGTGACTGCCATTGTAAGTCGCGTTGATCTGAGGCCAAGTCAAGGTTAAAATATTGGACGAGTATTTTTCTGTGCACATAGGTTCAGGTTATAGAGCCGAATTGCGATCGCCTCTGCTGTCGACAGTAGGCGACAACTGACTGCCCGTGTGTAACGTCCGGCGACACAGTAGATCGGTGTGAATGCGTTACGCGAATCGATTTGATGATCGGAGTCTACTAGGTGCCTCAATACTGCACCCGTTACATTCTTCCTCGCGCCGTTGTAGAGCCAAGCTTGTTCGCTACTTTCTGTTTCTGACACACATTTTATGTTGTCCACCTTTGAACTATTCGAATTTGTAATTCCTTACTTGATCAAGTTACAATACATGTGAAGCAAATGCCTTTTATGTCCGCCGCAAGCCATTTTTCCATTTTACTGTGGTTTTGAGAAAAACAGACAAACGGAGCAGAACTCCTTAAAAAAGCCGACCCCACTTTATTACTGAAAAACTAGCCGAGAGTCAATGAAAACTTTAGACCGAACAAAACCAAAAAAGTAGCACCACTCGGATGCAGTTAGTATGAGGCATAGTGTTAAGTGTAGTGGAAGAACACGATCCGATACCAAAAGTAACGACGCTTAACGTCCAAAGAGAGTGAAAATAAACGAATTCAAGAACCCTTGTAAGCAGACTTATGTTGCTGATTATTTTTCATTAGGCTTATGCAATTCTAGGACAGTTAGTATTCGTGGACAGACCCAATGGGTTGTCAATAAGCTAGTTGCTTCAAGCACACGTTAATAAGCGCCGTCAGTCACGTCACCGCTGTAGATTCCACGCGATCGCACGGTTCAACGCCGACCCGTCCAGATCAAGGTAGGCTCAACTCCTCTGCGTGCACAGCCGCGGTTCCGACTATTGAATACTGTATGTCAAAGGCAAATAAAACTGTGAAGCTGCGCAGATCTATATGAACAAAAACCAAAAAGTTATGATCCGTCAATGCACAGACCGCATTCCAAGTGTTAACTTGGAATTGTAAAAAGCAACGTAAAACTCCTACTTCGGACTGGGCAACCGGGTAGTATCTGGCCCACTGACAAACCATGGATGGATCATCCCCTTCCCCTCCACAATAAAAACATCAAAAAACTCAAAAACTGGAGTGGAAATGGACAAAAACCTTATTTATTTCCTTTATTTAAGCTAACCTTGTTTTCCTATTTCGCCATGGTTTCCATGGCACAATATCTGTACACAGATTGTGATCCATATATATATATATATATATATATATATATATATATATATTCGTAAGACTCACGGTAAATTGGAACTCACAAAGGTGAGCTAGACTTGGCAGTGGGCAATCGTTCTCGGAATCTAACACACAACGCATACAGCGATATTTTCAACCGTTGTACTGAGTTTGCTTCCAAGATATATTCTGGCAGGCTGTTCTAAACATTGACCACTTGCCGTCCAAAGCACAGGAGATATGGAAGTCGCTTCACATCTGGAACAACAATCTTATATTGATGTTTGCATGTGTCTCAAGGTAATCACAAGTGGAGTAGTGGGATCATCATGAGGAACTCACTTAGCTGCGTATGCGGTAACTCATGGTAAGGTTGACTCGAACCAGAGGATAGGCCAGGGTGTACAGCCCCAGAATCTCGTAATGGAATTCGTACGTTAAAACTCGCAACACCCGGAACAAGCCTGGTAGTGAAGTGGTGAATCAAACTGACCGGCACTAGTGAAAGTCAGATTCGTGAGGAACAAGCCGGGTCTAGTCAAATTTGAGGCTGCACCGACCAAATCATTACCTTGCGTCAATTGTTGTAGCACCGTGTTCCTAGATACCAAAGATGCCTTATATTCGATTGACGGACGTTCCCTTTTGGATTGCCCACACAAGAATGGTGTGCACGTTTAATATGTACATGCATGGTCCGGGCAGAGCGAGGCTTCATGGCAAACTATCGCCGCAATTCAATATCTCCAGTGGCGCGAGACGAAGTTGTCTGTTTTCACCATTACTCTTTAACTTCGCCATTGACGAAGTTATGGAGACTGCCTTCACTAAACACGACCTACAAGATGTGCAGTTGCACCCAGATGATGGAGTTCTTGACTTGGAGTATGCCAACGACATTTCCTTCATTGGTGACCGCTGCCAAACTTGTCGAGCAGCTCCGGACAAATTAGAGCTGGCTGTCAATGGTTTTAAACTTTGATTTTCTCCCACGAAATGCCTGTCAAACGACCTCCTCGTGGTGTCAGCCGGTCTGTTCGGCTATTTCCCGTTCCGGCAAAGGTTTAGGCGGCAATGTTCCAGAACGTAATAGGTTCACACCTGGAAAGCTTTCCCCAAGAAAAAGCCACGTAGGCTAGTTTAACAACACTGTAACGTGGCGGATGTGACTCGCCACTAAATAAAGTCACTAACAATTGTCTTCTCGGCGACATTGTATACCGGCAAGCAATCCGAGCGTCGGATTATGCCTTTGAGTTCGGGAGTGTTGGGCCCTGCATGTTCGGTCACCGGCTCCCAACGGATGCGAAACACATATTTCGCCTTGTTGTTTTGTGGGTTAGACCCTTCGGCTAAAGGTTCGGGGCCGTAGTTACCCAAGACAACCCACCAGCTTCGGCCTAGGCAACCGGGTATTATCTCACCTACTGATGAACAACGGATACACATAATTAGTTCTCCCTCGCTCTCATACTCCAATGTCCTACAACTACGCCGAGTTTACAAACACGCGCCATCAATCTAAATATGTCTTCCTTGTACCACTCATCCCCATAGTTATCTGATTCTACAACTGTGAACAACCCTACTTCCGCTGATGAAGTTGTTCTCTCGCCACCCGTCTACGCAACCACACAGCCCTTGACAGGGAGCTGCCAGCCTCAAAGCCTACCACTTTCGCTACTGTGACCTGAAATACAGTTCAAACTGGCAACGCTCAACGTGCGCAAATCACTGCACATCGGACAGCAAGGCGGACTTGTACGCATGTGGGAGGCCCTTGAACCTGCTGTCTGCTGTCTGAGTGAAACCCAACTGCAGGATTCCAACACAGGATACCAGCTGTCGTCACCAGTCCAAGCACACACCCGCTTTTATCTTCGTCTTTCTATCGACGCTGAGCCCTCTGCGTCTAGGCAAGCTGGTGTTAGGATTGCGCTCAGTGGCGTAGCCCAGGTCGCTCTTTTTGCTTGGGTATCAAACAACAGTCTTCTCTGTGTGATTACGCTCGGTGGTTCTTGTAAGTTTAACAGGCATCGCGAAGACAAGCGTTCTCTTTCCTGATCTCCGCCTACGAGCCCACTCAGTGCCGCGCGGATGCAGTCAAGGACTAGTTCCATCGACATCTTTTTGAGCTGCTCATAAGGCGCCTAAAACAGACATAGATGTTATGGCACAAGACTTAAACGTATGTGGCCGACGGCTGCTACCATCTGAACGCTATCTCGGTGGACCTTACGGGCATAATGACTTACGCTCTGACAACGGAAAGAGACTGCTCAGTCTATGTGCTGACCACCATAATTTCCTCTCCAGTACGAGCTTTTGTCACCCTGGACGTCACTATTCCATCTGACGTCCTCCATTGTCAACCCAACGCTGGTCACAAATTGCTCACCTATCCATAAGTCGCAAGTGGCGCAGCAGCGTACGCGACTGCCTATCATTTCGGTCAATCTGTGTTGACAGTGCTCATGTATTGGTGTTTACGATAATTTGCAGGCGTTACGGCGGTTCACCCAGCGTCAAGCAAACCCGACTCAACACGCACAATTTTGAGGACCCATTGGTGAAAGCGCAGTATCAACACAAGCATAGCGAAAATCTCGGACTACCCCACGAGCTGGCTGTTGAGCAACACCGGTCAAATTTGCAACAGGCTATGCTGTCCATCGATTAGTCCAGCTGAGATCTCACACTGCACAGCCAAAAGACGGATTTCTGTAAGATCCTCGAAACTGGTAGATCGTGGATGGAATGTGAACACAGGTTCATAGCTCAGTAAACTCTGTCAGTCTAACTCTCATAAACTAAAGTCAAGCCTTCGCTCTTGCTGTGAATCCTGCTGATCAAAACCAGCTGCTGAAATGGAAGCCGCTGCATGGGTTGGAAACATCCGCATTTTATTTTTACCCCAACAAAAACACCGGTTGCAATTCACACACTGTCAGTCAGAAGATACGCGAGTTAGAACGCACGAAAATCACCAACCTGCACAGGCGCTTGGGCCGCAGGGTAGAGCCCTTCGTTTTCCAATTTAACTACTCAGCACCACATACTGTGATATCACTCTTTCCTAAGCATGATGCTTGGAACATCGCTACAGATGATTCTACCGAAACAGAGATTCGAAGCGCAATCCACTCTGAAGCGTCATAAAGCTGCCGGTTCTAACATCCTATCCCTAGCTCCATTTAAAAAGGAAGGAATGCACTTGTCAACGAAATGCTATCAATCTTCACGATAATCTGGACTGACAAGAAAGTCTTAATTGCATGGGGAGAATCGTTCAGTGACCCGATTCACAAAAGAGCTACCAAGATTGCATAAATTACCGCCGAATTCCATCGATATTGTAGTAGCGATACTTAGGCGCGGAATTCGGAATGATTGCCTCGTCGTTCTCTGATGCCACAAAGAAGTGTAAGCATGGATTCCTATTGCTGTATGTTAAAGCTCCCACAAATAAGCACGGAAGCACAAAGGAAGCCTAGTGGTGATGTTACTCCTTAGATGATAGACTGTTCAAAATTTGATGATTGATGATACGTCAGCTGAAGCTTTTCTATGCTGGTCAATATAACTGGTGAATCGTCAGCTGATGAGAGATGTTATCTTACTGGTGTTTGTGTAACAAACTGTAAAAGTTGTTCCGTACATACCACTCCCGTAGTGCGCTAGCCGCAGGATGTTCAAACGAGCAGGAGTAAAACACCCGGTGGGATTAGCCGGTGAAAACTGATCTCTATCTGATGCAGTGTCTCAACAAATGCCCGACGCTGGGGCTTGAGAGGCATGGAGGTTAAAGTTCTGTGTCTAAGGCATAATGAAAACTTTGGGAGCAAAATAAAAATGATAAGTGCCGTGATAGTAGTCTGGTTGTTATTATCGGCACATCCTGTTCTTCCGTTTAGTCTTGCTATAGTTTTCTCTCGCATCCTTTCAGAATCTGAAGACCACTAAGCGAAAGAAAACTGGTAGCAAGCAGTAAAGCCAAGTGATCAGCACAACAAGATGGTACTGTCAAGATGCATAATATATTAGGCGGTCTGGAAAATGGAATCTCCTTCCTGACCGTGTTTGCCGCGTAGTGATATCTTGTTGTGGCATAACTTTAGATGTTAGCAGCAGTGGGTCTCTCAATGAGCTTTGATGATTGCTGCGTACGTATTGTAGTTTGAGGACCCGTTGATTGCTTTTCGAAAAGCTGTTCGATATGAGCTGGCCTTATAAGGTCTACAGGAACCACATAGATATTGCTCTTCCTGTCGGTTTTATATTGATTTTCTGCTCTGGAGATCACTTCAAATGGCCCTTCGTACGGTGGCTGTATTGGCTTACGGACTGCATAATTTTGTAACCACACCCGTAAACAGGTCAGGTCTTTTGGTATGTAACCCTTGTTAGTTTTTGCACATGTGGCTGTAAAGTGCAGTTCCCGCACAAATGTACTTAGACGGTGGACAGTTTGAAGGATCTAGAGTGTTGGCGTCAATTTGGTTGAACGAGGTTATCCGGAAGATGTAAGGTGACACCTTATACCAGCTGCGCCGCAGAGCAAACTGAAACAGCTTTAGGGGCCATACGAATACCTAATAAAACTAGCAGTAGATTTGCGGTCCAACGGATGAAGTCAAAACATGCCATCAAAGATGTTTCTTGGTGGCGATGGAAACGTTCGACTAACCCGTTCGCTGTTGGGTGGTATGCAGTTCTTCTTATTCGCTTGGTTCCGAAAGTTTTGGTTAACTCTCGAAAGTGCGTCTATTCGAATTGAGCTCCGCGATCACCTGTAATGGTAGATAGTACACCATAATGCGCGATCCAATGAGCCACAACGTTATGTGCTACCGTCTCTGCAGAAATATCCGCCATAGGTATTGCCATGGGCCAACGAGTGTAACGATCGATACATGCCAGTAAGTAGTTATATCCACTCGACGACGGTAGTGGATGGACGGTTTGGATATGAACTTGGCTGTAACGAACATCAGGAACGGTGAAAATGTTATGTGGTGCCTGTGTATGACGCTGCACTTTTGAACGTTGACAGGGGAGACAATTTCACACCATGGTCTATACGCCTCTGTTCCGTGCTGGTCACAAAAAGTTGGAAACGAGTTTACGTATTGCACGGATGCCTGGATGTGACAGACCATGTAGTGAAACAAATATGACCGATAGGTTGGTGGAACTAAAGGACGTGGCTTTCATGTAGCGACGTCACACATCAGAACATCGAAACTATTATGCAGCGGAATGGGGTCCACCTGTAAATTGGTTCCTTGAAAGATGTAAAACTGATTGATTATCTTGACGCTGTGTTGTGGCTAAAACCTGAGGATCAATAGGGAATGCTGAAAAAAGATGTTGATTTCCGTCCGGGATAAGTCATCCGCTTCGGCACTATTCGCATCTGACAAATGCCGTATGTCAGAGGTAGATTGGGAAATCTAATCCAGTTGTATAATTTTATCGTAGAGAAAGACGATCAGAAGCGGAAGGCAGTACATGAGTTAGCGGCTTATGATGAGTGAATATCGTGGATGTACGTCCTTCCAAGTAATATCGGAAATGACGCACAATGAGGTAACTAGCCAGGAGTTCTCTGCTGAACGTATATAGCGTCGTTCGGCAGAGTGTAGTTTCTTAGAGAAAATGGAAATCGGATGCATTTCACCTCTCTGTCTTTGTTGAAGCAGACCACCTACTGCTTCACCTGAAGTATCAACCGTTTAACTGTATCAGGGCCTTAGGGTCTAAACATACGAGAAGAATGTCAGTTGCTAGCTGGTGTTTAATATCACTGAATTCGTGTTTAACTTATTCCGTAAAGCAGAATGATTTATCATCCAATTTGAGTAATTCAGTAAATGACTGGCTTAACTCTGAACAGTGCGGGATAAATTTTCTTTAGAAGTTAACCATGCTTACAAACCGGGGTAACTTTTTGAAGGAATCAGGTATGGGGTATTCAGTGATGGTTGTCAGTCTGTCAGGTTGGGATGTGATTCCGGCGGAATAAACAA